CGTAGGGGATTAACCTTTGGATGTTGACGAAGCCCGTACCTGGAGGGGTCCATGAGGAGCATGGTGTCCCGAGCCGAAATCTCAGTTCTCAGATACTTTTGTAGGTGCCCTTCGCCAGTCGCGATGCAGCACATCATCCTGGAATTCAATGTGACAGTTTGGGGATTCGAGTTAAGTCGCATCCCATGCCCAGGTCTGACAAAGCTGCCGTTACCGTCCTCCTTCCTCTCAGCATCTCCGGCCACGGCCGCCAGCACCACCAACCAACACCAGCATCGTCATCACCGCCATCCTCGTCGTGGCCATCGTCAGCATCATCGTCATCATCATTGTCATCATCATGGATGTCTGAATCGCGATTGCTTGTCTGCATCTTCCTTAGCCTCACAAGCATCAGTCAAAGCGAAACCGCTATCAGCATCCACACCATCACCATGAACCCCATGGCCGGCAGCATTTGAACCAGTTTCAGCCTCCATCTCACTGGCATGCCTTCACCATCGTCACCGCCGTCATCATCCATACCGCTTAGCTCCGTAGTAGCATCGCGAAGTGCAGGAACAAAGAGAAGGCCGAGCCACGCATCCAAACCGACAGCGGGAAGACAATCCTTTGCTGCCAGTGCCACGAGTTTTGTCAGGATAGGTCTTGGGTCTGCTTCTGTCCGGAGGAAACAGGCCTTTGGGGGCTTAGACGCCGATGCCGAGCCCCCCCAGATACAACTCCCACTTGCGGCGAGCGGCGAGAATATGGTGGAAATAACTATGCAGATGATGAACTGGGACAACACCTCAGTGCACCACATGTGCATAATTGCCACGGTCATCATCAGCACTCCGACTGGTGCTGCGTAGAAAGGAATACTGTCGCTTGTCATGGTTGACGACCCCATAAGGAACCCCCTAAACCCGAAACCCAATACCCTAAACCCAAAACCCTAAACCCCATAAGGAACCCCTATATTAGTTCCCCACAGCTCTTAAATGGTGAAATGCTCATGTTCAGTTCAATCCGGCCCGGTTCTCCGCTGATGTCCCCGAAGCCTTTCAGGCGAATATAAGATGATACGAAATGGTACTACATTCTAGTATCATCTAGTATCACACAATATCTTATTATGATACGATGTGATATTACATGATATTACATGATACTAGACTATACCAAACTGTACTTTTCATTGTATTGTATAGTTGTGGTCACTCAGCCAGCCGACCTTTCTTGCAGGGCCCCTTCGATCATGCCCACACTTACACGCCTATTCGTACTCCTCGTGCTCCTAGCGGCTGTTCTTGCTATCAGACGCATTGTAAATCTCCCATCATCTTCATAGGAACGAGCAGACGTAACCACTTCACGAGCAACTTACCACCGTGCTGTCTTTCTCTTCGGTGCACTGCTCTCCACCTGCGAAGACCTGGACAATGCCCGTAAGAATCTCACAGCACAACCAACAAGAGCAGAATACCCCGCACAAGTGCAAAGTGCTTGAGGCAACTATGTTAAAGTTCCATTTGATGCGCACGGCGCCACTACTCTTGCTCTCATTTCTGCTGTCATCTAATTATCGTAGATGGCATGACAATATGTAGGCTTACTGGACAACCTCCACAACTGCCAGCGAACAAAAACCCTATCTCTGTTCCCGCTGTGGAAGTACAACGTTTGCACTGCGACTGTACCTGAGCCTTTGTAATCCCGATCCCGCAACAACCCCTGCTAGAAATGCCAATTCGATGCATTTGACATATCTGTATTCTTGGCCACTGCACCGTACCTCTTTAAAGTTCGCGCTACCCATTGTGGTATACTGCAAGACTCCTGATACCCTAAACTCGAAACCCCGAAACCCTTGCTTTGCACACGGTCCAGCTCCTCCTGCATAAAAGGAGAACATCGGCTCCCCTCTGAGGAATCGGCCACGCTCTGACAGGGGCAGAAGGGGTATTACGGAAGAGGCTCGCTCATCTGCCGTTATCGTGATGCGTGCGTTCTCGTCTTGGTGGCAATGGTGCTAGCGGGGCTAGTCTAGTGTTAATCCTGGGTTTGTTTCTCGTGGTGGTACTGGTGGTAGTGGTGATAGTGATGGCAGTGATGGTAGTGATGGTAGTGGTGGTAGTGGTAGTGGTGGTAGTGGTGGCAGCAGTGGCAGTAGTAGTGGCGGCAGTGCTGGTGGTGGTGATGGCAGTGGTGGCAGTGGTGATTGTGGTGGTAGTTGTGGTAATGGTGGTAGGGGTAGAGTCGAGTAGAAGGGGTGGTAGGGGTGGTTCTCGTCGTGGTGTTGGTGGATATCGTATAGGAACCTGATTTGTTAAGACCAGGGTTGTATTTTCGGGCACTATACGCTAGACTTGAAATAGGATGATCAGACACCAACGGCTCCTGCACTTATGAGTGTTTGGAGGCTTCAGGATGTGACATACAGCAAGGCCCAAATATCCGAGGAGTGGATGAAGTGATCCAAATTCAATAGGATCGTAATGCAAAGCTTCGAAGAGGTTTGCTTTCGGGTTTTGCTTTGAAAGCGTTGTGCTTCGACCCTGAACCGACGACTTGACACCACGAAGGCTTTGCAGGATCCGACACGACCCAGCCCATGCTGCAAGATACTACTATGTGGTTGTGCTCTGACCCCACAAGGTCCAGACAAATCGGGCTGTTTACTTGATCAAGGGCCCTCCCCCGCCTTGTCTGCATACGACGGAGTGACGAAAATGAAGAAGGACACGGAGTAGAAGATGGGCCCAACCCACTTCACGAACCTGCGAAGACGAGCCATGCAGTCAGGGCATCTGGCTTCGGGCTTGGATCTAGGAAGCCCGGCTTTGAGGCACCCCAGTGCCACTTCAATCTCCCCTTCTTGTCGACCCTGAACATGTTTGGTGGTCCTCCCTGTCATTCACTCGCTCGTTGCCTGCTGCCTTCTGAGTCTCTGCCTCTGCCTCGCTCACGGGCTATACGATTTTGTTCGGCTTACTGTCTCTTTCTCCACTTGGCAGGTGCTTAGATGCAGGTGAATCACTGAAACTGCGGAAGGAACATGTGCAATTTAGGGCAGGCAAGAGCCCTCTCAAGCCCGTGACTTCTCAAGATTGGGACTTTGCACAACTGGCTAAACCCTAAACCAGAATCCCTAAACCCTAAATCCGAATGCTATACTGTAAAAAGCCTAAACCCGGAGTGAGCTGCGTGCCGTGCGCCTCACGAAGAAGTTCGCGATGTCGGCACTCAAGGGCTTGCTCGGCCTATGGGACAATGAACAATGACAGCTAATGTAGAAGCCTAAAGAGTTACCTCCTTATTATTTGCGAAGTTGGCTCAGTCCGTCTCAGTTGAGGCCAATAGAACTGGTGGAGTTGTGAAACGCCAAACATTTTGTGCGAAGTCCTCTGCGGCGATCCGCTGGATCAGGGCCCTACACGGTTAAGAGAAAGGGGATGCTGCAGTAATACTCGTTCTTCCGACCACTCTGTTCATAAACCCCACCCACCTGGCGTACCAGGTCAGGAGGAGGTACTTGTCCATCCAGTACTGCATGCCTCGACAACGTGGCTGCTGATCATCGGATTCTGGAAGACCGTAAGCCTGCCTGCCTACCTGCACTGCGTACTATCAGTTACTATCACCGCAGAAATCAACAAAAACATGCATAAGTATGCATACTGCTCACAGGTGTGTAGTTCACATGCGGGCTTTGACGCCCAAGCCCTATACACAAAAGCCTTGGTTGAGTGAGTTGCCTACAAACCGCTGCTCCCACCGAGCACCCAGCACAAGCCGATCAGACCCACGAGGGAGATCAAGGGCAGGACTGGCTCGTAAAGCCTTGCAGTTTAGGATTAGACTATACAATATACTCAATATACTCAATGTTTGTAACATGAAAGTAATGATATGTGACATAATCAAAAGGCAGTGGGGTTCAAGGCTGTGATTTTTTGAGCTCAGGGTTCGTGGGTTCAGCTTTTGGAAAGGGGTTCAGGACTTGCGGGTTCGGAGCCGGGGTTCCCTTCGCGCCTATCAGCTCTCATACACTTCCATACGCTGGCACCCGGATGAACTTCTAGGAGTTAGGATTAGGGGGGCTTGGGGATATAGATCCTCTCAATAAGGTCCCTTTTTGGAGAGCCATAAGCTGGGTTAAGAAGGGTCCCCTTTCAGGGGTCTCCCGAATACCACCTGGGAAATTCCTTAGTGGCACAGTAGGGCCTGCAGAACATGCGCCCTCACTCCCGGACATGCCCCGAGCTTGGGACCCTAACCCCTAAACCCTAAACCCTAAACCCTAAACCCTAACCCCTAAACCCTAAACCCTAAACCCTAAACCCTACCCTGCTTCTGCACCTGCAGGAACAGCTCTGAGCTTTAGAACTGAACGATCGAGGATCAAATACGGAGAGACAGCCATGTGGCATGATCTTGACCTTGCAGCCTAGGCATTCAACGCCAACGCCATCACCCTCAACACCACAATCAGGAAGCATGAGCCAGTATCCGACAAAGGGCATGTTTCGGAGATCCTAGCGTGTTTGGGCCTTTTGGGGAGGATGCAGCTTGAAAGCCCCCGGCCCGACGCAACATTGAGGTAGTGTCCTTAAAACAACCCTAAGCCTGCAATCCTCAACCCGAAACTCGATACCTTCCGAGGACCTTAATAATTCGAATAGGGTTTTCGGGCCCATCATACTATAATCATATTAAGGAACCCCCACAAAAGGGTATAGGTAACCCTTTAGGCCCCAAGATTGTTTCCCCAGTTCTCTGAGGACTTGGCAGACAGCACATGAAGGTCTTCAAGGCATTGGCATATCTCCTGTACATCGCAGCTCTAGGGCTGAGGGGCTTGGATTTCGGGGGTTTGGGGAAGGCGAGCTGGGGACATAATATGCTATACTATACTGTACTATACTATACTATACTACGGTGTACCAGAAGATACTATACTCTAGTATATTAGAGTATGATATGATATACTATAACAGGCTAACACCACTGTGCGACCTTGGAGGTGAAGGATTTCCGGCCAGATATACCTAAAACTCAAAGCCTTAAACCCAATGCCTCGTGGCGTTCATCGAAGAAGGCGCCCAAGCCTCCGAAAAAGGGAGCAGCCGAACGGACCACATGGGAGCTTCCGAAAATTTGGGTACCTTATTTGGGGTCCTTATAACAAGGATCCTACTATTTAGGGTACCTTATTTGGGGTCCTTATAATAGGGATCCTACTATTTAGGGTACTATATTAGGGTCCCCTATTTTCGGAAACCCCCACATGTCAGGTCTGCTTGCATGGGCTAAGTCTTAAAACGGCTGTGGAAGTGGGAATGAGGAGACTGCATGTACGTCTGCAAATACCATCTGAGTTATGCAGTATCTAGGTATGACTCGTCTTAAATTCGGCGTCTGTCTGCATGTGATGATGAACATGTGTATCTGTGTATTTGTGTGTGTCTCTGCTCATTTACTTACTTTTCGGTGTTGTGTATCCATGCGCCAACATTGCCTCTTTCCTTCCACAGTTGTGCACACACGCACAGCCGTGCATATGCATACGCAGGCATGCATGTCTGGGTGGATTGGTGAATGGGTGGATGGTTGGCTGGATGGCTGGATAGATGCATGGATGTACGGATGCATGGATGGATCCCTGGATGCATGGATGTAGAATGCAATAGTTTTCGCAGTTTAGATAACATGCTGGGCCAAACGAGAAGAAAAGGCAGGAACTGACGACAAAACCGAACAACTTGCATGTACAATATACAGCAGTCTCGAAAACTGTCACAAATGTATAAGAACTCATAATACACAAGAATACAGAATGGGATGTAAGTTATGAGTAGTTGCTGGCCTTCGAACCAAAGTACATATGCAACTGTTCGCTTTCAATGTAAGCACATATAGGCATGTCAAACGAAAACAGTGATCCACACAAGTAGTACAAGAGCTCGGAAGCCCCCGAACAGAAAGATTTGCCCCTACTACCCCAAAACCCTAAACCCTAAACCCTAAGCCCTAAACCCTAAACCCAAAGCCCTAAACCCTAGGCCCTAAACCCCAAGCTGCTGGGCGGCAAGAAGTTGCTGGTCCGACTCGAAGACTCTCTAAGGAAACCCCTAAACCCAAAACCCTAAGCCCGAAGCCCTGGTCCTATTCGAAGACTCCAGCGAGCCTTCTTGAACTTTTCAATCTGAGCTTTCACCTCCTTCAGCTCCTGCGAGCTTCGGAGCTGGAGACATACCAATCGTGATATGATAACATATAACATAGAATAATAAGAATATGATGATATAACATGACAAAATATACTATAATATATTAGAACATTCTATAGTATATCCAAAGTTTCAGGATCCCGGTTTCAGCTCTAGAGCATGGGTTGCCCATGGCTTCCGGCTGCCTTAGTGTCGGGGCCTTAATGATTTTAGGGCTTAGGGTTTGGGGTTTAGAGTTTAGGGTTTAGGCCTTAATGATTCGAGGGTTTTGGGCTCCTTGATCGCATAGAAACACTGCACACTCCCTTAGCCCGAAAATCTTAAACCCCTAAAACCCTAAAACCCCGAAACCCCTTCATCCCAAAAGTCCAAACCCCTGAATCCCTCAACCTGCAAACCCCTAAGACTTCCTAAACCCTACCTGAACTCGAAACCCCTAAAAACCCCGTATAAATCCCTATAAGCCCTGAATCCCTAAACACGAAAGAACACCCCAAACCCTAAACCCCCAAACCTCAAGCCCTAAACCCCTCAACCCCTGGAGTCCTCAACCCCTCAACCCCTAAACCCTTAAACCCTGAAAAAACACTAAACCCCTAAACCCTTAAACCCTGGAAAAATCACTAAACCCCTGACAGCCCGGAACAAACAGAGCCAACCCTTCCTTGATCTGCTCCGGATCTTTGGGGTTCGGCCCGCGCCTCGCCCCGAGAGGCTGAGGGTTTTGGGAGTCGTTCGGTGGCTTTGATGAGGGCTGGTGGGGTTTAGGGAGTTTTTTGGGGTGGTTTTATAAGGGCTGTTGCCAGGAGTCTAGGGTTTCGGGCTGTAGGGTTTTGGTCTTTAGGGTTTCGAGTGTAGGTTGTACGTAGGGGTTTGGGGTTCAAGGGTTTGGGACTTTTGGTGCTGAAGGGTGTAGGTTTTTTGGGTTTGGGGTGCTTGGTTCTGGGTTTCGGGTTCTGGCTTGCAGGATCGAGTGCCTAGGGGCTGTAGAAGCATCAACAGCCTTAGAGTGCTGCAATGTGGTGGTAGCGCTGTCCTGGCTGTATGCATCCACTGTGGACCCATGTCTTGACATCCGTTCTTGCCCCCCCGACAACGGAGCCTTGTTTTGCATAAACCCCTATGACATGAGCCGAAGCATGCGTCGGTGCTCCCGTGTTGTCTCACTTGGTCTGGGGCTCCAGTAATCGAGAGAGCATCATCCCAAATCCCAATGCCCCCTCCCGATTGAACTACTTGCGCTGTTCGTTTACCTGTTGACACGCACAGCCCTGGCACCAGTCAGGCTTCTGAGCCGCCGAAGCTTTCGAGACTGTAACTAGCTTGCTTTACTGCGAAATAACTCGTTTCCCATGGCTACGGCACGTGTCAAGCTGAAGACAAACATAGTCAATCTCCTTTCATGCCGTCAAGCTGGCAGGATATCAAGTAGGCTGCCAAGATGTTAAACTGTTTTCCCTTGTCTTTCGGCAGGACCATGAGTGAAGTACCTACCATCTGCGATTTTTCACACAAATCGCATCCAAAGTCAGAAGATGAGCCAAGCCACATCAGCACTTGGTTCATATACTCCAGCTTCTCCTTCGATTCTGCGATGTGCAACGGGCACACCCATTTGCGCTTGGGGGCATACTGATCACTATGACTGCGAATACAACCACCAAAAACGCAGCAGCAGTAGTGGCGGTGGTGGTAGTAGCAGCAGCAGTGGCAGTAGCAGTATCTGTAGCTGCAGCTGCAGCAACAGTCGTGGTAGTAGAAGCTGTTGCTGTTTTGTGGTGACGGCCATAGTGATGGCCAGCACGGAGTTGTTGCATTACCACCTGTCTCGTGGTAGCAGTACTACTCAGACGACGGTCATACTAGCACTTCGCGCTCGCTACCAGAACTGGATAAATCTGCAACAGCCACCCAGCATCCAACAACTGCAGTGGGTGCAGCAGGAAAGCTTAAGAGTCGGCACATAACAAAATTGTCAGGACTCAGCTTTCGCTGTTGGAGTACTAAACAGTGGCAACACTACTAAAAATAGGTACATTGCAGCTGCACTACTGAGAAGTTCAAACTCATTATGAAACTTATGATATCGCCCTGTTACTGGTAAGCATGACATAAGAAGATGTCACAGCAGAACAGATGTCATGACCAAAGCAATCTAGTAGGTCACAAGATTCAAACCATCTGCGGAAGCAAAACAAATCGTCACAATTCGTCTGCTGAATAGAAGCAGGAAAAAACACGACAAAGAGTGAGCAAGTGATCCTGAACCCTACGCCCCAAAACCAATCATTGTCCCTGCAGAAGAGAAAGGATTCTGCCGGAGGCTCGTCAGTGAGTTGATTGCGCTGCATGCTTCGCACTTTGAAACCTCAGTGTGATGCTACGGGGTTTAGGGTGCGGCTTGGGTTTTCAGGGTTCGGAGTCAACCTCACCACAACTAAACTGTTATCACAGGTGCTGGGCATACCCATACAAGAATACGTGTTGAAGCTTTCAGTCACAGAAAGATTTCTATCAGCTGATGTATGCCATCAGCTGTTGTCGAAGCAAACACGTTGACAATAACATCGGTAGCGACTTGGCAAAGACCCGAGACACCCAGGCGGAAGCCCCGATGCTATCCATGTACTTGGGTCTCGAAGCCTGCGCTAAAAAGGAGCCCAAAAGCAACACGTGCCTTACGCCCGAGCTCCCCACCGAGATCCATGTATGGGACAAGTGGGGGCACGAATGCGTTGATCAACAGCATGGTGAAGGCTCCGTTGACGAGGCCTCTCACTGTCACTGAAGCTTTGGCAGGCTTGACTGCACATTCCTTATTTTCCTTAGTTACCAGCTAAGAAGTCAAGATCCCCTCGAAACGCTGTGGCATTTTTGCTAATTCGATTCCCTGCGAAGCCTCCATCCTGATACCACTCCTTCGGCTGTGAGTAAATGAAGAAGAGCACGCCGGCTGTGTTCACCACCCTGGGACTGCCAATTTTGTCGAGTCCAAGGATATGGCCCACAAAGACGTGACGACTCAGCGAAGAAAAGAATCAGGAATACCACACATCTGCAAGCTAGCAGCTAGCTCTAATATCATTTCTTAGTACTGTAATTGCACAGGGGCTAGAAAGAGACACTGCTATTCGTTATTCAGTCCCCGAGATTAATCTACAGTCTCGTTGCAGCGAGGAGCATGCCAACCGACATCTTCGCAGCTTGCGAGAACTCCTGCTCCGTAAGGGTGTCGTGGTACTCCTGCACAGGTCGCGGTTTCAGGGTTTAGGGATTAGAGGTGTGCCTTCCTGCAGCTCTTGCAAAAATTCTACAGTCCTACAGGCTTTACAGGCTCTGGGATTTGCAGGGTGAGGATGGGGCTGGACGAAACACCTCTGCAGTAGTCACCTCATCGGAACCACAAGCGAAGAATGCTGTTAACCCCTGTCCAAGATTCAAACCCCGCCGTGACCTAGAATAGACAGCTGCCCGCTCACCCTCGTCGCCTTGTCTCCGAGATATCGAGCTGCAGCCATCAGAAACGCATTTACGATCTCAGCACACAGCCCGCGTCAGCTTGGCAGTTTGCAGGTTTTTGCTGCTTGGGAGAGCAGGGGCTGGCAGCCAACATCCAGTAGTGGGGTGCACAAGCAAGCTGTTAGGAGAATGCTTCTGAGGGATCCGAAGGGGGGTTTCCTAATCAGGGGCTCCTTGCTAAGGTTCAGGATCCCACCATATAATATAGGGTTACAGAGAGCCCAAGGCCTCGCCGGTCATGACTGACGTTCAGCACACGATGCCTGCAAGCTTTCGGAGCTGATGCAGGCAAGCCACAGCCACCGTAAGAGCTGGAAGCAACGACAGCCATATCCCGGCAGAGCCTGCAGCTTCTCAGCTCTCGCTACTGTAGATCTCGTTTTCAGCACCTTGGTCCTTCCTGAGTGTAAGGTTCCACTGCAGTACCGACAGCCCGAAACCAATACTAGGACCACTGGGAGTCATCGTAGCAGTGCTACTTGTGGTGCTAACAGTGGGAGTGGTCGTCGTGGTCCTCGTGGTCGTCGACATCTTCGTCATAGGCGTCGTCGTCGTCATAGTAGTCGCGGCAGAAGTAGAATACCAGCAGCAGTGGCAGCATGGGCAAGAGCAAAAGCAGGAGCCAGACCCGGGAGCAGGGGCAGTAGCAGTAGCAGTAGAAGTAGCAGTAGCAGTAGTCGTAGTAGTAGTAGTAGTAGTAGTAGTAGCAGTTGCAGTAGCAGTACCAGTACCAGTACCAGTAGCAGTAGCAGTAGCAGTAGCAGTAGCAGTAGAAGTAGCAGTAGCAGTAGTCGTAGTAGTAGTAGTAGTAGTAGTAGCAGTTGCAGTAAGTAGCAGTACCAGTACCAGTAGCAGCAGTAGCAGTAGCAGTAGCAGTAGCAGTAGAAGTAGCAGTAGCAGTAGTCGTAGTAGTAGTAGTAGTAGTAGTAGCAGTTGCAGTAAGTAGCAGTACCAGTACCAGTAGCAGCAGTAGCAGTAGCAGTAGCAGTAGCAGTAGAAGTAGCAGTAGCAGTAGTCGT